GTCCCTGGCGGCCAGAGTCATTCCTCCCTCCCACCCTACGCACCATGCAAACCAGCAATTTCGGCGAAGTCGTAGCCAGAGTCATAACTCCCTCACCCCCTCGCAACCCAAAAATGGCTAAGTCCCCTACAAGAGACATGCCTCCCACCCACACCCCCGCTACTTTTTTCTTTTCTTTTTTTCGCTAAGTCCTCCACACCACAGCAAGACACGTCACGTCGTATACGCCCTTCTGACACCCAACCAATCACGAGCAGGTGGATTTTTTCCCGCCCCTCTGCCGCCCATGTAAATCTGATTCCCCTCTCGCGCCCCAGAATCGTTTTCCGTCCCATCCCCCAATCTCCCCCAGCACGCGCAAATCCGCTACAGAATACACTTCTTTCCACACCTCAGTGCTGCCCACTTCATTCACGTAAAATGTTCCTTAAATGGCCAAGGTTAGAAAGGGTGCAAAGAGTTCTACACTTAAAGCAAAGACTTCGAAATTTTTTACCCTGCCAAATCAGACTTCGAATTTTTTTAGCTCTGACCGTCAGGGTATTTTTTTTTTCCTACTCTGATTTCAAAGAGTGGCCTAGAACCAATTTTGGGCCCTGGACCTGAGTTCCCATTGTGAGTCATTTATGCAGCACTCGTGATTTCGTCAATTTAGTGAGCTGTAGGGTGCTTGAGGGGCAGCCCAGAGGCTTGGTTAAAAAGGTATGCTATGCACTGATTACCCAAACGTGAACAGCGTTTGGGCTGCCTAAATAATTCATAGTTGCCCCACATGCGAGTTAAGGTGTCCCAAACACAATCGTTTTTGGAGTTAGGGCTGTTGCCACCCTGAGTGGTCGTGCCCCTCTCGGTTCCTTTTTTGTTTTTTCATTTTTTAACTAATGTATTGGCGGATACGACACTACCGACACGAATTAAACATTCAAGACGACACGTTTTGTAACTGTGCGTATGACTTCTCGGGTAAGTGGCAGCCATAAAAAAGCGTAAACCGTTACAGTAGCAAAGAAACTGACGGCGGGAATCTCCGTCGTACGCGGGCAGGGGCCAGTTAAAAACTCGCGAGAACATAAATACAAGTCGCCGATATTTCGTAGGCGCGATATTTCCTCGCCGAAGTGGGTAGGGGGGAAGAGAAGGTGTGACATATCACGTCCAGAACTTTCTTTTCTGCTACCCTGTAATTTCAAGGTAGTTAGAGCGTGTTCCTACGAGCCTCTTCCCAAGCAACCTCTTCCCACACTCATGCGCGTCCTTGAGAGCGTGTTCCCAGGACCACTTTTCGGAATACTCCCGTTTCATATATTTGTGCTCCATCGCTCTCAACCAGCTAGCGTCGAGAATTTACTGTGCAGATTCGCGCCTGTCTGAAAATCTGCTCGTCTGAGAAGAGGTTTTAAAACACGCCCCTGAATTTCGGGAAGCCGAAGCTCACTTCGCACTTCGCGGAATCGCACTGAAACATTTCGCGTAGAAAATTGCGACACTGTAGCACGCGAGTCTGGGAAGAGGTTGTTTGGAAAGAGGCTTGTAGGAACACGCTCTGACTTGAACACACTTGGCACGAGGGGACTTAGCCGAATCCTTCGGTTTGCGAGGTGTATGGGAGGACTGTCTCTGTTAGTGGGGGACTTAGCCGAGTCCTCTGGGTTGCAAGGGTACTACAGGAGCTCTGTCTCTGCCAATAGGGGACTTCACCAATATTTCGGGGTCCCTCGAGGGCTGTGGGAGGAATGTCTTTGGCAGTGGAGGACTTAGCTGAAATCTTGGTTTGCGGGGGGTATAGGAGGAATGACTCTCGGATTGGGGGGACTTAGCCGAAATCTATAGGTTGCCAAGGGGAGAAATTCTTATAGCGGGGGATCGCATGTGTGATTGTGTAAGGGTGATTTTACACAACACTTTTCCGCATCAGGGTCCCTACACTTGACCACTCTGAAAAAAAAGGGTCCCGTATAGATCTAGTTTTTTTGGTCCAACACCTACCCCACCCTTATTATAAGGGCCGTAAGGGTATTTTAACCTGATATCCTGAGGCCTGGAAGGCACACCACACACAGGACACTAAGCCACACACACCCCCTAAATCTAGCACCCCCATACTCAGTAGTAGCGACGGCTACACAAGCCCGGTCAACCCCTCGGCGCGTGAGGCGGCGACGTCGTCAGCAAGGGCTGCGGCGGCGACGGCGGCGGCGACGGCGGCAGCGGCGGCGGCGGCGGCGGCGGCGTGCGGCAGCGTGGCCCCAACGCAAGCGTCGACAGCGGCAGCGGCGGCGGGGCTCGCAGCACTCGGCGGCGTGGCCAAGCTCCGCGACGGTGGGACGTCCAGCGGGAGGCAGCCAACGGCTGCGGCGAGGAAGAGGGGACGCAGGGAAGAGGGGCGGGGCTTCTACAACATGCCCGTGGCTGGCGTGTGGGCGTCAGGACCGGCGGCGCCTAAGGCGTCGCGCGGCCCGTAGCCGCCCGTCGACGCCGCCACTGCAGCAGAACGCCACCTCCACAGCGCGACGCCGATGCCGCGGCGGTACGTCGACGCTGCGACGGCAGCACGAGCTTAACGTCGACGGCGCCGCCATGGCTGGACGTCGACGCCACGACAGCGCGACACCACGGCAGCGCGTCGAGACGGCCGCGGCAGGACGGCGCAGCTGGTGGCACGACGACGCCGCCACAGCAGTACGAGAGGGAGAGGAGGAGTGCGCAACAGAAGCGTGGGGAGCAGGCCCGGGAAGGGGAACCTGCTCTGTTACCATATTAAGCTAAGGACGCTAGGAAGCCATGAAATGGCACGAGGGATTAGCTAGGAGAGAGTTGACGAGAGAAAAAGAGAGTCGAGAATAGAAGAGAGAGGGATACAAGGAGGGGGGTTGTACCCTCTACAGTAGGTTTCAGTAACACCTACCAAGCCTACCAAATATATATCAAAGATATAATTTAACAACTTTCTCTAAAAGTGTAAGTTTTTTTTTACCCTTCCGTAGCCAGAGTAAACCGCGATCTACTCGGATCAGGCAGGGTATTGCCGAAAATACCCTGAAAGAAAAGCCTACAAAGTCTGCGGATTCGATTGTTGTCGAATCTGCCACGCGTGAAACCGCGCCAGCCATGCACGCCCACCGACAAATGTACTGGCAGTCAAGCCCCTCAGAATGGGCACGCGTGGCAGTGAATTCGTCGCGCTGTGGCAGCATTGCTGCCAGCGGCATGCTAGATGCAGTATGCGCTATGCATCGAGGCCACTTTCCCGCGTGGTCTCAAGGACAGCTTGGCATCGCATGCACCAGCGCAGCAACACCCGCAGCGCAAGGACAGTTTGCCATAGCATGTTGACTTTGCCGTGCTGTGCGGTTTTCGTTCTCTATCACGAGACCATTCTTGGCCCATCGTCCTCATCCTCTTCTTCCCCCACCTTCTCTGAATACTTCACCCAACCGAGCCGAGCTGGGTCAATCATTCCCCTCGTTAGTTGTTACTCTATCGCTTCTAGTACTCAGACATGGCCGTTCCCGAGAACGACGAGCCTGACGATGGCCATGTTGGTCATCATGATGGCCTTAGCGTCCTCGGTATTTTCCCCCTCGCTCCACCAGCAGTCGCGCCCTCATTCACCCAGCGTAAATCTCCCCCGCGCTCTCTGCAAATTCCTCTGCCCGCCCCACCACAGATTTCTAGATCCCTTTCTCCATCTCCACGGGGCATCGAGCCCATCAACCTTTCAGAGTCTGCCGATGCAGATGAGTCCGACCATCCCTCCGTGACAACCCCACCCTCCCCTACCTCCGAGACCGCCAAAGGGCCACGACGGTCCGCATGGACGCAGTCAACCCTCTGGGGTGCGCCTCCGCCTCACTGCCCAGCAAGCCTGCCTCCCGAGCACCCTTCTCGCCCTGCAGTGCCAGCTGCCGACACTCTGGTGACAACCGTTGCTGAGGCCGAGTATGCAGTAATTAAGAACCGTTTGACAACGACTGGTCGAAACGGTTCTCCTGGCTGCGGCTACATCGAATGAAGAATGGACGACGTGCTCTCAAGTGCGCCACGTGCCTCAAACACGCCAACCCGTGTGCGAACACTTCGTATGGCATCAAGGGTGAGGGCGGGTGCGATTTGCAGCTCGGTAGCATCCGCTCTCACATCGGCACCCGTGCGCACAAATCGGCGCTCAAGGCGGAGGAGGATGCTGAGAAAGAGCGCGCGCGGCAAGTGACGCTGACCCGCTGGCAGTGGACGTATCACCAGACGTGGCATCTTATCCGCATGCTGCACATTGCTTTGTTCATTTGTAGGCATGATGCGCCCATCGCGATGTTCATCCCCCTGTGCTGGTTCCTCGCGAAGGAAGGCCACCCCGATCTGCCGCCAGGTGATTGAAGCCCGAAAGAAATGGGCCATGGGCCAATCACAACTGCTCTGGCGAATTTCATTCACCGAATCGCGTGAAACCCAAAGAATTTCCGATAGTCATGTTGGGTGACGAGCGTATGGCGTGACTTTGTTTTGGTTTTTTTTTTTTGTTCTTTGTTTGTTTTTTTGTTTTGTTTTGTTTTTTTTGTTTTTTTTTTTTCGCACTGTTCGTACTGCTTGCCATTTCGTGTGGCTTTGAAATCTCAAACGCCTTTCCCCACTGTCCAGACGTAGGTACCAAGTGGGATTTTCGGACAGATTTGAGTTTCGAGACTCGGTGTACCATGTTCATCGGAAGAGTCCCGTCGCTGTTTTCAGAACTCAGTTCCGTGATTGGGAATTCGGAACTGAATGTACTACGCCCTGAGATTTCCTGTTTCTAATGCCACAGCACTAGCAACAAAGTGTTGTCACCACCTAGCGTGTTATGAATTAATCAGAGTAATAACCGGTAGTGTAATAAAGGAGTCGTGATTCAAGAGTGTCGATACAATTGAGGGCCAAGGCATTTATGGGCACGAACAGAGCTAGCCAAGAACCACGCGAAGAGGTTGGGGCGATTCGGTTGGCAAAGGCCACGGAAGCACTGCGCGTCGAGGTTTGGGTTCGCAAAATGGTTCGGGACCGAAGAAGTTGGCCGAGCCTGGACTTCCGAGAGTCGAGGGTGTACGCGCTGTAGTCGAGCCCAGTAAGGAAAAGGGAATTTCCTTATACCACCCCCCCTTCCGAGATAAGACTACCCACATTCGGGACACGTCGTCGGTGTAAATAGTCCCTGGCGACTTTGTGTTTGCCGAGCATAGCTGCGGGGACCCAAAGATCGTCGCCAATCGTGCGATCGACCCATCGTACAAGGAAATCAACGGCTGCCATATATCAATGGCCTCATACGCGATGAGCGAGAATCTTTGATGGCTCGATCGTTGGCTCGGGTACTGGGTTGACAGTAGGATTGATGTATTCTCGGTCAAGATTAGTCGTACTCGGGACGAATGGTCGCAGGAGGCTGACGTGAAATGAATCATGAATTCGCCAGTCGACCAGCAGTTGCAGCTGGGCGGTGACTGGTGTCACCATGCGGATGATGTGGAATGGGCCGCAAAATCTTGGTCGTAGTTTATTTGGGAGGGGAATTCCCAAATTTCTCGTGTCGAGCAGGACCAATTGCCCAGGGACGATTGTTAAGTCACGGCGTCGTCGGTCAGCTTGCTGCTTAGTCCGTTGGTTGGCTTTGAGGATGGCATCGGTGGCTTTTTGCTGAGACTGTCGGAGATTTTCGATGAACTGCTGCGACCTTGGTGCCGGGTTTTCTATCGGTGGCGATAGAGGGGTTGTCGGGTCTATCCCGTAATTAAGGAAGAACGGGGACTGAGTAGTCGTGGCTGATGGGGCGTTGTTGTATGCAAACTCGATCAAGGGAAGGGAGTCTTCCCATTGGGCCGGGTCTATGCACGTCGTGCGAATCAGCTGCTCCATCGTCTGATTGGTGCGCTCAGTCTGGCCGTCCGATTGTGGGTGGTACGCCGTGGACAGATGCAGGCGTGTGCCGTACTGCTGCTAGGTTTTTGTCCAGAAATTGAACATGAACCGTGGGTCACGATCGCTGATGATTGCCGAAGGAATGCCCTGTAGCTGCACGATGTTCGTAAGGACATTTTCACTGTCTGCTCGGTAGTAATTGTCATCTTGCAGGCGGCGAATTGGGCCATCTTGGTCAACCGGTCAACGACGACGAGAATCGCGTCGTTACCGCTTGAACCAGCCGGCAGGCCAGTGACAAAATCCATCGTCACTTGTTGCCAGGGCCGGCTGGGTGGCTCGAGCGGCTGCAGCAATCCCGCAGGTCGAAGCCGTGAAGACTTCATGCGTTGACAGGTGGCACAGGAGGTGACGTACTGCTGCACGTCTGTCGGCAAGTCGGGCCAGTAATAATTACGGCTCAGCAATTTGGCAGTTTTGTCGATGCCGTACTGACCCGAGAAATTCGAGTCGTGTGCCTCCTGTATCAGTAGTTCTTGTAGGGTATGGTAGGCGGGAACCCAAATCCGATTGGTACCGGATTTTAGGATATAGGCCCCTTGCTTGACCTTCAGTTGGGGATGACTATTAGTGGTGACGAATGGGTCGGTGCTGTATCCGTTGGTGAATAGACCAGTTAGCAGCAGATTAGCTTGGGTAATTAGGACTGCGGTGGTGTGGACGGAAGGGCGGGTCAGTGCGTCGGCGATGTTGCTAACCCTCCGTTGGTAGGTGACTCTGTAGTGGAAGTTTAACTCGAGGTAATCGAGCCAGCGAATCTGTCGGGGATTTAGTGTCGGTTGGGCGCGAATGAACTATAGCGATTTGTGGTCTGTTCGGACTGTCACGTCAGCGCCCGTCAGGTAGAAGCGCCAGACCTTGAAAGCGTGAACGATGGCGAGTAACTCTTTGTCGTGGACTGGATAATTGTGCTCTGCCGGGTTCAGCTTTCGTGACTCGTAGGTGATGGGTTGGAGGCCTTCGCCGAAGTCTTGTAATAGTACTGCGCCAACAGCCAGGTCGATAGCGTTGATGATGAGCTCAAACGGACAGTGAGGATCTGCAATTCGAAGAACCGGAGGTGTAGTCAGGAAAAGTTTGAGCTGTTCGAACGCAGCGTGTTGCTCTCCCCCCCACTCATAAAACTTGCCCTTCTTTAGGAGATCCGTGAGAGGGGAAGTTACCCCCGCCATGTTCGGGATGAAACGGCGAACGTAATTCACAAACCCCAGAAAACTCAAAAGTTCATGGAGATTAGCCGGTGGCTTCCAGTCTTGGATGGTTGCAATCTTCTTTGGGTCGATTTTAACGCCGTCGATCGAAATGACGTGTCCCAAAAACTCCAGTTCTTGTTCGAGAAACTGGCACTTAGAGCCCTTGGTGATAAGTCGGTACTGCTGCAGGAGAGAGAAATCTGCATCCAAATCCTTCAAATGCTGCTCCCGGGTAGTGCTGTAGAACAGGATGTCGTCGAGGTACACGATGACGCATTTATCCAGCAGCGGCCGAAAAACCTCGTTCATGGTTAACTGGAACGTCGAAGGCGCGTTTGTTTAGCCAAAAGGCATAACCGTGTACTCGTAGCTTCCATACCGGGTCCGAAACGCCGTCTTGTAGCAGTCGGCTTCTTTCACACGGATTTGGTAATAACCGCATCGCAGGTCAATTTTTGAAAAGAACTTGGCTCCACGAAGTTGGTCGATGAGTTCGTCGGCAAGCGGGATAGGATAGCGGGATTTGATGGTAACACGGTTCAAGGCACGGTAGTCGATGCACATTCAGAGACCGCCATCTTTCTTCGGGGTGGACTGGATTGGAGATGCGAACGGGGAAGTGCCGGGGCAAACAAAACCTTTCTCGAGCAGGTAATCCAGCTGGCGTCGAAGTTCATCCAGCTCGGGCTGCGACAGCCGCCATTGAGTCCGAACAGTGGGTTGCGCGCCGGGCTCCAACTCGATTTTGTGGTCGTGGTTTTGCTCAGGTGGCAAACCCGACGGTAGGTCGTCTGGAAAAATGTCGATGTCCTTGCGAATCACTGTTGCCAAATCATCCAGGACAGCTGCGCAGAGTTTGTCGATGTTGGCTGGTGTGTCGTTAGCCGCTGATGCGATCCATCGGACGGCGTACAGTTTTGCCCCTCGAATCATAGCTCGCTTGATCGTCACTGCGCTGACCGTCGATGTGGTCGAATCTTGACAGCTCCACTGGGGTAGTCGTCGCCACTCCATTTGATGCGACAGTCGCCCGTCCGCCAGTCAATGCTCGGGTTGTATTGGCGCAGCCAATCGTGTCCCAGCAGCATGTCGTAGCCGTCCAAAGTTGTCCCCAGCATCTTCGTCGTGAAGCTGAAATTTTCGCCTCATGTCACTCGCATGTGAGGTATTCGCTCTCAAATTGCCAGTGGTGTGCCGTCAACCAATCTCGCGTCGATTTCGGGCATGCAGCGTTCCAGCTGCAGTCGCATTTTTTTCGCCTTCGTCACATCCATCAAACCGTGGCTCGCCCCGCCATCAACGAATATTTTGATGCGGGTGTCGCCAACTCTCCCTTCAACTAGCACAGGGCAATCAACCGGTTCACCCCCCTTATTCAGCGAGGAATGGTCGATAGCCCAAATGGGCACTATAACCTGGTTGGGGTGTTGACGTTTGGGCGACGTAGTCATGTCAGTAGGTGGCCCATCTGCTACTGACGATCTCCATTTCCCGACTGCTTCTTGTCGTTAGGTAAGTTCTTCTTCAGCTGCGGGCAGTCCCTCACAATGTGACCCGGCTGGTTGTAGTGGAAGCAGGTCCCCGAAAATACTCTGGCTGCAAACACGTCCACGCCGTTGATTGATGTGTGTTGGGTCTGGCCTCAAAAGCGATTTCCCTCCCGGAAACCCGCTCTCGCGAGTCCACGTCGTGCGTCCAGCGCGTCTGCTTTGCGAACGATTTCGTTGAAGGTCGTCGGGGCTCGCAGGACGATCTCTTGCTGAATCTCCGGCTTGAGACCACCCACGTAACGATCGATTTTCTCGTTTTCGCTAATCCCTCCGATTTGGTCGCAGATTGCCAGAAACGAAGGCGTGTATTCTTGGACAGAGCCCAACTGTCTCCCTATCCGAAGCTTTGTGCGAGCATTTCCGCACATTGATATGTGCTCGAATCTGCCCTTCGACGCTTTGCCCCACGCTTTTCACGTGCGGATCGTGGCCGACCCAAAGATTGGTTTTGCCTTCGCCGTTGATGAACTCATCTCCCCATCTGCCGCCCGTTGATTCCCTGCCGGGGCTCCTCCCTCGTCTAGATGCATGCGTCACCGGTCGAGTGACGGTCCCCTCAGCAGCGACACAGCCAAGTTGATACGTGATGCATTGTCATTAATACTTGCTGCCGTGAAGAAGATTTTGTCAAACATATATTGTATGTTTCTGTAGACTATATAGGGTTGTGCCTTAGGGAGTACAACCCATTAGGTTATATTCCCTTGTATGCCTTGCTCTATTCTTTCTTTCACTTGAACATGGTATCATGAGTAGGTAGGTTCCCCCCCCCCCCTAGCGCTTCCGCCCTTGGTCCTAGCTGCCTCGTCGCCCCGCAGCCCAGTCCCCTAGCAACCCCGCGGCACTGTCACCTCGCGGCCCCGCGGCCCCGTCACCTAGCGGGGGCTGGGGCTGGTGCCTCAGAGCAGCAGCCCCAGCAGCAGCAGCGGCCGGCTCCGCAGCTAGACCAGCAGCGGCAACAGCAGCGGAGGGTCGGTCGTCTCCTGCCCGGATAGCCTGGAGCTGGAGGTGACGGTGGTCGCAATGGTCGCTCGCGCGGCATGTCGTCGGGTGATAGTCTGAGTGACGGGCGCTACCAGTACCAGCTCCAAACCGGTCCTTGCCGCGGCCTCGTGTGCGGTAAGATCGGCCATACCCCTGCTCGTTGCTTTCGTCGCCTAGACGACCTGTTTCGTCTCCGCTCCGGCCCGTCGCCTGACCTCCTTGACTGGCACAGTCTGCTCTGTCGTCCTGTTCAGATCTTTGAAATGGACATGGATGAGATTAGCTCTGCTTTGTATGCACTGTATATTGATGATTCTAGTGCGACTGGTTCATATTACCCTGTGTTGCCTAGCGTAGGTGTGCCCAGTGTGCCTAGTCCAAGCTCCCCTGCTGCATCAGGCATAGGATCCCCTGCCTTGTTTAGCCTAGGGTCCTCCCTCGCTCCTCCGACCTCTGTCGCCGCTGCCGCGCTCTCCTTCACCCTGGACTACGGCGCTTCCCTGTGTTTCTTTCGCGACTCCACGACGCTTATGCTGCTTGCCACTCCTGCTACAGTTGCTCTTGCAGACCCTTCTCCCGGTCCTGTAGTTGCCCGTGCGACACTACTCTCCCCTGTCCGGCGGTTCCCTCAGGCTCCCTTACAGGCCTGCACATCCCCTCGTTCTCTAGGAACCTAGTTGTTGTCGGCTGCCTCCAAGACCTTGGCATCACCACTACGTTCCCTGGGCACGAGCGGTACAGTGTCTCTACCGAGGCCGCCACTGGTGCCCCCCTCACCACGTTCCCCCGGGACCCGTTGTCTGGCCTGTTCACGCTGGACACCGTTTCCCCCCCGGTTGGGACGCCTCCCCAAGCACCTGCGTCTTCCCAGGTTGCTGCTGCCTGCTCTTGTCAATCGCTTACTCACCCGTTACTTCTGTGGCACCACCGTTTAGATCACCCCGCCCTCACCCGTCTCCGTCAAATGTCCCAGCACCATCTTGTCCTAGGCCTCCTTCAGTCGTTCCCTGCGCTCCCCTCCTCACCCGTGCCTCCGTGCACGCCCTGTGTCGAGGGCCGGCTCCGCCGTGCCCCTCACTCCTCCTCATTCCCCCCTACCTCCGCACCGCTGCAGACCCTGCACATGGACGTCTGGGGCCCCGCCCCCGTTCATGGGCCGCGTCGCGAGCGCTACTTCCTAGTGCTTGTCGACGACTACACCCGCTACACCACCATCTTTCCTGTGGAGCGGAAGGCCGATGTGCCCGTGGCTTGTCTCTGCACGTGCTCACCGAGGTCTCCCTGTCTTGTGTCTTCACTCTGACTGTGGTGGCCAGTTTGCCTCTGGCTGCCTTGGTCGCTTCTGTCGTGCGGAGGGCATCACCTAGACGTTCACCCTGCCGGACTCCCCACAGCGTAATGGGGATGCTGAGCGCTACATTGGTTTGGTCATGGAGGTTGCTCGTACCTCCATGATCCATGCCGATGCACCCCATTTTCTGTGGCCGTTCACCGTTCGCTACGCCGCTCACCAGCTTAACCTCTGGCCGCACCCTCAGCGGTCGCAGGTTTCGCCGACCCTCCTCTGGACCGGGTCCCCTGGTGACGCATCTACGTTCCACGTCTGGGGCTGCCTTGATCACGTTCGTGCCTTTGGCACGAACAAGCTCATTGCCCCCACCGTCCCCTGTGTCTTCCTCGATTTCCCCCTTGACTCGTCTGACTGGCACTTTTACCACCCGCCTTCTCACCGGTTCTTTCACTCTTGTAACGTCACTTTTGACGAGTCCGTCTCCTTCTACCACCGCTTTCCCCACCGTGGTCCCCCGGTCACTCCCCCCCAGTTCCTGGTACCCCCCCCTCCCCCGGTCGACCCTGTCCACCCCTCTCCCCGCCCTGCCCCGTCTGGTGTGTCTCGCGTCACCCCCCTCCCGTCTTTTGTCCCTGCTGAGGAGTTTGCTGAATCTCGCGGCTCGGCGGAGTCTCTTCCCCCCCTTGTCCCTGCCCCGGTCTCGCCTCCCCTGTCGCCGCCGCTGCTGTCCCCGCCTCAGCCGCCGCAGCCGCAGCCGCTGTCGTCACCGCAACTGGGGTTCGTTCGTTCTGGGGTTGCTGGGGAGTGGGCTGGAGCTGGTTCTAGAGCGGGCTGTGGGGGTGCTGGCGTGGTGCTTCTCAGAGGGAGCCATGTTGTCATTGGGGGTTCTGGTGTTGGAGTCAAGCAGCAGTCGCAGCTGTCGCCGCCGGTGTCCGCTCTTCGCCTCCTTGGTCTCCCTTCCCCTAACCGCCTGTCGCTGCCTCCCCCGCTGCCGCTGCCTCCACCTCTGCCGGACCACAGCCCCGTGTTTCCTCCCGCGGACTCCTCTGCAGCTCATTTCCCTCCGCATTTTCCTCCTATGTCTCCTCCCCTCTCTCCTGACCCAACTTATCCCTCTCACGTCTGGTCTTGTCGTCCGTCTCGTGCTCAGCCTATATCCCGTGTTCCGCGTTCTCACCCTATGTTCCTTTGCTCGCACGCGTCTCGTGCTTCTCCTCTCCTCTCGTCTCCTCCTCCGTCGTCGCTTCCTGTGGCCCCGCCTCCGTTCTGTGACTTCCTCCGTGTTGCGCATCCCGTTGTTCCTGGTGTCCTTGCCTCTCTCGTTACCGACCCATCCGTTCCTGTCTCGAGTCTATCGCCTCTTGTCGCTGCTATCACTGACTTCGCCGCTACCTGCCGCCTAGACTATGCCACCGCTCTGGTCTCTGACCCTACCTGTCCTCCGATCGTCGGGGGTGTGGCTGCTCTCGGCAGTGACGTCCTAGAGGACAGGCAG